CCCAATGCCTGCTTGAGTTCCTTCACCAGCTGCCAGGCATTGAGAGCATCACACAGGTTGATGAACCCTGGAGAGCCATTCACCACTGTAAACGCAGCACAGGAATAGACACATTAAAGCAGGCAGACCCCTCTCCCCAGAGTCTGGAAAGCAAGCAGAAGAGATTTCTCCCACCAAGATCTGAAATCACTACAAATTGTTCTTGTTAAATGACTCTGGCTCCTCAGCAACCAGTTAAGTGCCCTGAAAAGCTTCAGTGACTTGTGAGGAATGCACAGGCTTGAGACTCAGGAGATCCAAACACAATTTTCTTCCCTACCAGAAGCTGCTGGTATGACCTTGAGGCAAGACACGCTGTCCCCAGGCACCTCCCCTCTTGTGAAAGGGGAACAAAAGCAGAACATTGCCCCTTATGCTCTTTGGAACAAGAGCCACCTCTTTCTGAGGGAGCCTACCAGAGCTTGATTTTGACCAAGGTGCATAGGCAGTGCTGACAGGGAAGAACACAGAAAGCACATCCCCTGTGCCCTACCAGGTAGATTTATTTACAAATCTAGCAAGTAGATTTTGTATAGCAACTACTGTATCTGATTCCACAAAGTACTCTGGCACCAGCCAAACTTTAACCACATGTTGTATCTAACTGATGTCAACAAAACCACTCACAGCCATGAAATTTAGGGCAAGCTTTTAGCAAAATGCTTCACCTGGTCCTTCCATCAGAAATTGATGTCAAGAGTAAAAGCCATTTAAGTCTCTCTCAAAATCTTTTGCCCAGGCCCTGCACAAAGAACTGCTCATACTGACATGGCAGAACTGTGAGCATTTCAGGAGATGGGAGAAAATGATCATTTCAGTAATAGTCCATGGCCAGGGCAAGTGAACATAGTGTTGTTCTGCTGCCATACTGGGAAGAAGACTTGCAAGCAAATCAATTTCCAGGGCAGGCATGGAAAAGCTTCCTAAGACATCCCAGAAATGAAATAAGGAAATTCTGCAACACTAAGCTTTGCTGTCTGTTCAACAGGAGAATGTCTGCACACAAGGCAGAGCTCCTTTTAATGGTGGTGAAAACCAATCTCAAGGACAAGAGCATCCAGATTTTCTTTCTCTCCAAAACAGGGGTTTCCCCTCACTGTAACACTGCTGAGTGGAACATGCTGTAAAATGGTAGAGAGACACACCAGACTTGCCCCAAACTCTTGTGAGTGAGACTACTATCCCTTCCTTCTGCCACCACTAGCAGAAGCAGCCTTCTATAAAACTGAGGTACTAAACCTCTGCTCAAAACCATCAATGAAAAAGAACAAAACCCATTCAAACCTAGAGAACAGCAGCTTGGTTTCTAGACAGAGTAAATGGTGACACAAAAAGATTGGGATGATACTAAGTAAGGAAAATGGGAAGAACAAAGCATCTTAAAAGGATGGTAAAGTTTTCCTTTGCAAAATCTGGATCTGATGTCAAGCAGAAGGTGCACTACATAAATCTGTCCAAAGTGTCTTCAGTGTGGACACACAATCTTACACCAACAGAAGAACACCAAGCTACAATAAGTCTTGTGGGGGCCAGCAGGCAAGCTTGTCTGTCTCACAACTCAATCTTTTCATGGAAAAGTTAGTGCCACTCAGTAATAAAGTAGTTGTTAAAGCACTGCTGGCCATCCCTGGACCATCTTGGTACAAGACGGTGTATCAGTTCTAAAGACAACCTGCAAACAGACCCGACCACCTCCCCTCCTAGCTACCCGAGAGCTCCCTTTCAGCCAGCATGGCCTAGGCCTTACCTGTCAGGGGAAGCTTAGATCTCGTAGTGTAGAGCTGTGCAGGACTCTGGTGAGGATTCATGCCATACCTCAGGGGCAGCTGGGACACACCTTTGCTGTACTCTTTTCTGAAGTAGTCAGAGATGGCTGCATCATACTGAGCAGTGTGGGTGAATGCCTGGGGACAGAACAGGGGACACTTGTCAACTTACAAAGTATTTGATGTTAAAAGAACTGAATAAACAAAAGGCAAATTATTCTGATCTAGCCCCTCGCTGCACGCAAACACGACCAACCTTCAGTGCAAGGTGATGCCTGGTTTCCACAGAGGTATCTTTGTCCCTTGATGTTGCCATCTCTTTAGCTACTATAGAGTAGTCTGCAGGGTCACATACAACTGTCACACGGGCATGGTTCTTGGCAGCTGCCCGCAGCAAGGCAACTCCTCCTGCAAGAGAAGGATGGAGGCATGAGATACTTCCCTTCTGGACACAGCATAGTAAGAGCTGCATCTGAGGGGCACATAAAGAAGGGACATGCACCAACTCATCATTTGGGCCAGATGAATGTGTTCCCAGCAAAAAGAATGGATAGTCAGAATGCTTTTAAAAACAAACAAGGCTAGTGAGTTTGACTCAATCCACCAGTGAAGGTGTGCACTGAATGGCCTTTGCAGATACAGGCACAGCTGCAGGGGCAAGAAAACATGGGCTAAACAATGAGCAACTGAAGCACGAATGCCTTCAAGCAGCACAGCCACATCCTGAAGAGGATGGCTGTCCCCAAATATTGCTTAAGCACCATCTTCTGCAACACTGAGCTGTGGAGAGGTCGACAGGAAGGTTTACTTCTATGCTGCTAAGCAACTGAGGTTCTCAAATCCCTCTGCAAATATTAATGAATCCTGCTCTGGTTCTCTGTGTAAACTAAAATGCCACGCTTGTCCCTTAAATCTGACTCTGCACAGCTACTACAACCCTTTAAATCATACAAGATACTAGGCTGTTGCAAAGGAAATGTAGAGCCTGGCACTGCTACACACAGAACAAGTACCACTCCATAAAACATTTAATAGAGAGTTCTTATAGGCATCATTTGGATCAAACTACTGCAAGAAAATTCAATCCCATCCAACCTCATGGCACAAAACTGAGCCTGTTCTGTTCACAATCTGCCAAGCAGAGATGCTGCAGTGAAGGAAAGGCAAAGCCTTTTGGGGTTAACAGCTAGCAGGAAGAGCAAAACTGCTGATGATACAGGTGTATGTGCTTCCAAACTCAGGTACTACTTACTCTCTTACATCTGCAGACCAAGACCTTTCCTTGTAATGGCTTCCTGGTATTAAGTTCTCAGCAATCCCCAGAGAACTTTCAGTGGTTCAGCTTTTTTCTCTCTAAAGCTCTTGGGTTTTGTTTTTATTTTTATTATGCACTCAGAGGCTGCAAGAGGTTTAAGCTGCTCTCTGTGTTTCAGGAGGAAGCATGCTCCACCTGGCCTTTCCTAGCACAGCCCTCTACAGTACATCGGGCTTCTTCCTTTGAGCAGGGCATGGCTTGCCCTCCTATGCAGCATGGCTTGCCTGTCTGTTACAACAGCCATTTGTCATCTTAATCGTATGTCTGCTTAAAAGCAATGATGTTTACCCAACTATACTTTCAGTCTGTTCCTTTAGCAGACCTCCTGTTTGAGCGTGCAAGGTCACCAAGCAAAAAGAAGAGACCTGAGACCTCTTAAAGACCAGAGCCATCAAGTTTGACTGGAGAATAGATTAGCTCTCCCTTTAACTTACCAATATCAATCTTTTCCACTGCCTCTTGTACAGTTACATTCGGAGAGGATACAGTCTTCACAAAGGGGTAGAGGTTACACACGACGACTCTGAGAATTGAGGGGAAAAGCAGGGTTACTCAATGAGAAAAACAAAGGCCAAACTGGGCTTAGAATGCACCAGGTACTACCAGTGCTTTTATGGTGGTGTCTATCACATCAGGGAAGAACATAAAACCCGGTAGCCAAGGCTTCTTTCTCTATAACACTTCAGTCAGTGACACTCGGCCAAAGGCCAAATGATGTTACAACGGTGAAACAGCACACACATTATACAGTTTGACTGAACTCGGTGCATTAAACAATGTTACAGCGGCTAGAACCACAATTGACAGAAGTTAGGTAAAAGGAAGAGTTTCTTTAAATACATGGGTCTGTAGTTAAATGTTTCGTGATTTTGGTGAGCAACTTGAGCATTTCAAAGGACCTCAAAGGGGACTCCCAGCACTGCTGAAAATAGGCAGCCACTAACTTTCATAAGAGACTAAGCACCCAGACCAAGGACCATTGCAAACAAAGCATAAACAATGTGATTTTCCACAACTTTTCCAGGAGCAGAAAACAAGCTACACATCACCTTCTGGACTTCTAAAACACCAACAGCATATGAAACCTGAGTGCACCCCACAAAGCCTCTGTGGCACATGAAAGGAGATGAGAGGATTGCCCTCTCAAGGCAAGACTGCAGTCTGTATTCTAGAAAGCATGAAGTAAGAACTTGCCCTGTCCCATCCTACCAGTGCCACATGAACTGCAGTGAACAGAAATATGTGTTTTGACCTTCACAAGCAATGTTTTTAAACCAAGAGAACTAATTTACTCTCTCGATCTGAGCACATGAAGGTATCAAACTCCAGTGCATGCCCAATATGGACAGCAAATTGCTGTGATGCGTACACGTGCATCCAACTTTTTAATATTCCTTTGTTTCCACACTGTGTGAACACAGAATCACAGGAGTTGGAAAGGACCTCAAAAGCTCATCCAGTCCAATCCCCCTGCCAGAGCAGGATCACCCAGACCAGGTCACACAGGAACACGGCCAGGCGGGTTTTGAATGTCTGCAGAGAAGGAGACTCCACAACCTCTCTGGGCAGCCTGGGCCAGTGCTCTGTCATCCTTACAGTAAAGAAGTTTTTCCTCATGTTCAGATTGAACCTCCTATGCTCCAGCTTGCACCCATTGCCCCTTGCCCTGTCATTGGCTGTCACTGAGAAGAGCCTGGCTCCTTCCTCCTGACACTCGCCCTTTACAAATTTATAAACATTAATGAGGTCTCCCCTCAGTCTCCTCTTCTCCAAGCTAAAGAGACCCAGCTCCCTCAGCCGCTCCTCAGAAGGGAGATGCTCCACTCCCTCCATCATCTTTGTGGCTCTGCACTGGACTCTCTCCAGCAGTTCCTGTCCTTGAACTGAGGGGCCCAGAACTGAACACAATATTCCAGATGTGGTCTCACCAGGGCAGAGTAGAGGGGAAGGAGAACCTCTCTGACCTACAACCACCTCCCTTCTCATACACCCCAGGAGGCCATTGGCCTTCTTGGCCGCAAGGGCACATTGCTGGCTCAAAATGATGATGGATTCAAGTGGAAGGGATGATCAGCTTCCAGTATGGTTTTCAGAACCCCCTATGTCTCTAATTTTCCTATACCTTTAATTGTCTATTCTATTGCTAATACTTCTCCCTCCCAGTCCATTCATGCTCCTGACCTGTTGCAAACCATCAGGAATCTGTGGACTTTTAACACTGCTAATGCTTTTATCTGTGGCAATCAAGATAATCAGTATCAAGATTTCCTATCTTGATCTGGGTATGTAAATTCTATGCAACTATGCAAAGATCCTCCTGCTGAGGATCAGCTTCTTCTGCTTCATGTAAGACAACTCAAATCCAAATTATTACTCCAGATGCAAGTATGCTATTAAGTCACTGATGTAAAGGCATCTTAGTCCCCCCACAATTCAGCAGAGCCTGCTTTAATATGCAGCATACTCTGACGAGCCACCACTGCATAGCCATCTATGAGGATTTCTGTGGTTTTAAGTTTCAGGTTTTCAAATTCAGCCTGGAAATCCATCCATCCTAGCCACATCAGTTTTTAAAAGTAATTTTAAAAGCTAAGATGCATTCTGGCCCAATCACCACAGTCAAACCATAGCTCCCATCCTGGCTATATCTACAATTTAGTATGTTCAATTCAGCCATTCACTTCTAAAACAGGAGCTACCCACCAACATAGAATTGATTATTCACAATCACTAGTTAGATGTTAAAACCAATTAGTTAAACATAGCCCCAAACTGCCCTGTGTGCGTGTATTGAGTAAATGCATTCAAACCAAACCAGAAAAAAAATGTTTGTAACGATAGTGCACAAACTGTTACTTCAGTTCCTGTCTGCAGCTCACTTGCTCCCATGATGGCTCTCAGAAAATAAGTTTTTTGTTATCTGTCTGTACAAATGCTGCATGTTCCTGACCTGCTTTTCATGTTTACTCTTTATTTATGTGTTGAAACTCAGTAAATATTATGCAAATATCAAAGGGTATATTTACTAAGCAAGTATTTCAAAATCAGGAACTGTCATCTGATCAACCACCTAGAGCCAAATTTAGGTGAGATGCGCCAGCTTCAAAAGCACTGACTTCAACTTTGCAAGTAGTGTAATGTGGTCCAACATCAACTAAAGTGTCCAAATTCCTAGATAACCAGAAGACATTAAAACCACTGTTCCCTGTGGAAACCACAATGTAACTTTCTTGGTTTAGTTTTCTTTTATTACAAGTGATGAAGATACATCTGTAGAAAGATGTATTTTTAAAATGATAGTATCTCCTGACATGGAAAAGAAAAGAGACTGCAGATCTTCTGGTGTGCAGATGTTACAATCCCTACTGCTCCCATTCACTGGTGCGGACTGGTCTCCAATGTTCACTTTTGATCACTGACAAGTTTCATCACGTCCCCCAACATTTACCTTACAAGGCTGAAATCCTGCTTGTTCATATCAGCATTATCTTCTGGAATATTACGTGCCAAGATGCCTGGTTACAAACAACAATACATGTTTATTCAAAAACCAACTACATCACCAACAAACATGGTTTTAATTCAACATCTTTATTCAGAGTATGCTTTTTTTCCCCTCAGAGATTTTCTACCATAAACGTTCTGATTCTAGTTCAGACAACAGTCCTCAGCCCCTACTCTTTTACCCTATTCCATTTTACTCACTCTGGTTGTTCAGTTTCCATACTAACAGGTTTTTTTTCCCCAATGCCAAATCCTAGAGCATTTCAAGTGCTGAATAGCAACCTCAAAAAGAACTTTATAAGCATTTAGTTGCTACCCTTACAGTACTAAAACTGTAAATAAGGAGTGCGTGGAGAGGAAAAGGGCACTTGCTGCTTATCAGCCAGCAACACTCAAAGCCTAGGAAGCAAAAGCAGCTGTGCCTGTAGCTGAGCAGCAGGGGTGGCTGGCTTGGGTCTTGGAACTCAGTGAAACACGCAGGTGACTGGCTGGCACAGAGCAAGCACCAGCGCAATCCTGGGTCCAAGGTTGTCAGAGAAATTATCTCCAGCCCCCAGGTATGATGGGCAACAGGTTCCATTTGAAGCCTCTCAAGCACCATTACAGGAGATGAAAAAGCAGATGGGTTATGTGCAGATTGACCAATTATCAGACATCTCCCTTGCTGAAGAGGAGCCAGGGAAGATGAGACATGCAGAAATCACCCACTGAAGACTACGCTGTCATGTTCCTTATGCTGCATGCCAGATTTATCCACAGGTTCAATTCAGTGGAGCTCACTGCCTGAACAAGTCTGAAATTGGCTCTCCAAAGAATGTGCAAAGGCATTTACAGAGAAGCCCTGTTACTTGTAGCCCTGGGGAGGAACATCTCTGCTAACTGCAAAGATGCCAGCACAGCAACAAAGGAAGTAATTCAGCCACCGTGCACTTCTCCACCTCATGCTTTTCACCTCTCCTTCTGCTGCTAGAGCAAATCTGTTTTCACTGCCCAGTTCTTCCACGCAACCCTTAAAAAAAGCATCTGCCAACCCCTTCTGCCCACGGATTTATCTTTTAGACTGAAAATGTATTAGCAGAAACATACCAGCATGGACTGCAGGATGAAGGGTTTTCACACGTCCACCTAACATCTCAGGGAATCCTGTCAGGTCCGAAACATCTCTGCTCAACAAAAAAAATACAGCAAGATAATAGATGCGACATACAGACTTAATCTGTAGCCTGAATGTTTATTATTTCCATCAGGGCAGTAATTTACATCCATTGGCAATGCTGGTTCTACTGGAAGATTTAAACCCTAGGAGCTTTGAAGGCAGCAAGGAGCAGGGGAATTAAATTTAGCTTTCTTTTGATCCATCTGTTAAAAAAATATCACCACCTTTCTCTCAATGACAGGAGAGTAGAGGGAAAAAACACATGCAGGATTCTTCTAAACTTCAGTGTCTTGTATCTCAGTAAGAACACAACATATGGAAAGTTTATTACCAAGCTGCTAGGAAAACCCTATGCTGAGAGACGAGGAATACCTCCTTCTTATGGAAGGCTGGGAAGTAGTTCTGAGATGAGGCTGTTTTTATTAGGGTCGGCATCTGACAACTAGTTAGCAAAATGCTGCTAGGTACAGAAGGATTAGTAGAAACAGCCAAAATGTGGGTTTAATGCTTTCTCACTCGTCACGAGATGTTGATCTATATGTTATGCAAAAGCTACGTCTGACAGAAGACAGAAAGGACATTGCTTTCTAGGAAGGGATCCAAAACAAAAAAAAAAATTGTATAAACTTCACTACAACCTCCCTCTATGCCAGAGGGGCAACTGCTTTTCCCCATGAATGGAAATAAAAGTTCACGGGTCACACTCAACTAAGCAGTATGGTTATTTCTCAGATACATTGAAATAACCAAGATAAGCAAATCCTAAGTCAACATGGTTCATAGAGAGAATGGAGGACCACACTCAGAAGAGGCAATACCTCAGTACTCTTCTTCCCAGCTTAGCCAAAACATTTATTAAAGTTTCCCCACTTCCTGTGGCTGTTTATGATGGTAAAGGAACAAAAAATGGGACAGAGAAGGGGAAATGTGACCATCCTTTGCTTCAGGCTTCACAGACAGTACAGCCAAGCAAAGCAATAGGAGAAACATGGCCAAGTACTGGATAACAAGAACAGGGATCTCTGGAGGTGGTGTATAATCACACTGATGTGTCCCAGTGGGCTACCACTGCATTCACTGGAAGCAGAGAAGGAGTCAGTCTCCTTCTCCTGCCGTATCACTGGCAGACTTTTCATCACTGCACTGAAAACAATTCTTATTTGGCAGGAGCTGTTTTTAATTACAGCGTGGAAGAAACTAAAACAAATTTCCCCAGTATCATGGGGATAGTCAAAACAGCTGGTGACTGTATAAGACCCCTCTCAAACACTGGATGCACAACACTTAAAGGCTCTGCCTGAAAAAGCTGACCATCATGCTGGGAAAATTGTTTGTGACAAATGATCTCCCATGAGCTTCAACATATTCCTGACACATGTCAGTCCCGTCCCAGGACCAGGCAAAAATGAGCTTTCACCTGGCTGTGAAGAGCAGCACTAGGGACAGATGACAAATTTCAAGACAACTGATTGTCTCACTGTGAAAAAAGCCTGGCCCAAGGCAGACATGGCATCATCTCCAACACAACGCTGCTGACATCTCTGTATGCTGACCTGCACAGTAACACTCTTTGGCCTCAGTCAACCAACCTTGGGCCAAGAAGGTTCTGAAGTTTGCTTTGGGACAGGTGGTTTGTTTCTGTTTTTCTGGGTTTTTATTTGGAAGGAAAGACTTGCTTTCAGACCAGTTTTCAATCCTTTTTGCTCACAGATGGAGAAAGCAATTTTAAGCAACCTCAGGGCCCAAACAAGCATTTTTGGTGGAGATGTACAGGGAAGCGTCAGTACCTGACAGGCAAGCCAGCATCTCTCAGTGACTTGGCTGTTCCTCCAGAGGCAATTAAACCCAGGCCAAGAGCATTCAGGCTCTTCGCAAATTCCACCAGGTTGGTCTTGTCAGAGACGCTGAGCAACGCTAACAGGTGGGAAAAGCACAAACATTTCGGTTTTAAAAGTGGAACAGAGAAAGAAAACAACAGGATTAAGAGACTGAAGCCTCTATAAGCTCTACAACTTAGGAAACGTCTCTGATGCGAGGTGACTGAGGAGGGGAGGCAGGAGCCGATCACCAGTCCCTCGCTCCCCCATCTCCGCAACAACAAAGTGCGTCCCAGGCGAGACACCGGCGGGAGGAAGCAGCGCTGCGGCGGGACGCCCCCTCACCGTCCTTCCCGCTTTTCTTGCCCGCTCCCCAGGAGTTCAAACGCCCCTTTCACACAGCGGCGGCTGCCCACCAGCCCGGAGGGAAGCCCAGGTATAAGCAGCCCTGAGGGAAGGAAGGTCCCCACACGCACACCTTCCCTCAGGGCACGGGAACTACCGGGTTGGAAGCGGCTGCCCCGTTCTGAGAGGAGCAGCACCCGGGCGCCCCTCGCCTTCCGGGGACGCCCTGTTAGGCTGAACCCGGCAGCGGGGAAACACAC